GTGACCCAGGCCAGGGACACGGCAGCAGACCAGGGACTGTACTTCCCAGCTGAGGACTTGGGCTCAAACAGGGGCTTGCCCCAAGTGCCTGGCAGGTTAAGGGCCCTGCATTTGAGGTCAGCCCAAAATCCACACTCATCTCATCAGCTGTGGCTGCCTTTCGGGCCCCGGTACCACGGGCTCATCCTTGCTCAGCACTCAGTACCGCAAGCAGGGCTTCTCAGAGCCCTTCAGCTACCCCAGCAGGTGGATTCCATTACCACTACTATTGAAGAGAACAGGAGCCAGAGAGGCTGAGGCACTTACTCCAGGTCACACTGTGGATAAGTAGCAGCATGAGGATTGGAATAAGGCAGCTACAGGCAGATCCGTGAAGCCCCCAACAAGGGTAGGATGAGAGCTTGTGAGTCTGCTGCTGCCATTTCTATTTTATTTGTAAAGATCCTATTTGTTTATTTGAAAGTCCGAGTTACAGAGACAGGCAGACAAAGAAACCAAGAAACAAAAAAAAAAACAACATAGGAAGGAAGGAAGGAAGGAAGGGAGGGAGGGAGGGAGGGAGGGAGGGAAAAGAAAAGAAAAGAAAAGAAAAAAAAAAAAGAAAAGAAAACAGGAAGGGAAGCAAGAGAGGAATTCTGTTGGTTGGTTCACTTCCCAGATGGTCACAAAGGCCAGGGTTGGGCCAAGCCAAAGCCAGGAGCCAGGAGCTTCTTCCAGGTCTCCCATGCAAGTGCAGGGACCCAAATGTTTGGGCCATGTTCTGCTGCTTTCCCAGCTGCATTAGCAGGGCCTGGATTAGAAATGAAGCAGCCATTACATAGTTACTGTACATCCCCTTAGATGAAAAGCCACAAAACGGAATCAACAACAGGAAGAAAAAAGAAACCAAAAACGCCATGAAGTTAAATAACATGCTCCAGAATGACTAATGTGTTGCTGAAGAAATGAAAAAGAAAACCAAGAACCTTCTTGAAGAAATGATGCTACTGAATGATCTATGAATCAGTGAAGAATTTAATGACAAAGTGTTTTTGGAGACTATCATATCTAGTAGCATGTTATTTAACTTCATGGTGTTGTAAATTTCTATTCTTGTTGTTGATTTTGTATTGTGGCTTTTCATTTAAGGGAATGTATGGCAACTGTGTAATGGAAACTATCATATCCAGATGTGAGGATACAATGCAGTATATATCTCTACTTCCAGATCAAAGATGGACTCCAAAAGAAACTGCTAACTATATTTTGACAATAGGATGCTGGACTCTGCCATTTTCCATACCCACAATGATGAACTTATGACTGTTTATGAAGAACTATACTATATTAAGAATAATGATAGAAATAACATAGGGGAACTCAGTGGGGGCAGAGGAGACTTGGGGAGGGAGGAAGGGAAATCCCAGGGCCTATGGAACTGTATCATAAAATGACAATAATAATAAAAAACTAAAAAATTAATAAAATAGAGGGGAAAGGAAGAGGGTATATAAAAAAAAGAAAGAAAGAAAGAGCTGAAATAGGAACCAGCCCTCTCTCATATGGGATGCTGACAGTCCAGGTGGTGACCATACCCACTATGCCACAATGCTGACCCCTCTGTTTTTTTCAATGTCAACTTATTTGTTTATGAAAGACAGAGGAACAGAAACAGAAAGGTCTTGTATGTGTTGGTTCACTCCCCTAAATATTCATGACAGCCTGGGCTGGGCCAGGTCAATCCCATGGATGGCAGGGGCCCAAGCCCCTGAGTTGTTCTCCATTGCCGCCCAGGGCATGCACTAGACAGGAAGCTGGGATGGAGAGCAGAGCTGGGTCTCGAATTCAGGCGCTTGGATAAGGAATGTAGGCACCCCAAGCGCTGTCTTATCTGCCAAACAGCAGCCCCTGTTCTTAGCATTCTAGATCACCCCCTTAATTCTCCCACTCCAACACACCCAGGGAGTAAGGTGGAGGCCAGACGAGATGGGGTGGGGTGTGGAAGGGAGAAGAGAGAACGCCCAACAGATAAACCCACCTCTACCAGCCCTCAACAGTCAAGTACAGAAGTACAGGAATCCTCTGGCCGTGGACCGTTTGAGCTGAAGTCTGGGGCCACTCCATCCCACTGATCTTGCTTCCGAGAGCCCTCAGTGCCCAGACCTCCACCACTGCACCACTCCCCACCCCGTCCCCAGAGCCTTGTTTAGCAAGCATCTCCCTCGGGAGTGTGAATCACAGATCGCGTTGTCTGGGGGAAGTCACCATCATTGTCCAGCACCAGGACGGAGTCAGCGGGGTGTGTGCTCCTGTCACCACTGGTGAACTGAGCAGCTTCGCCTGGTCCTGGGACTTGGCACCCCTGTCCCCAACCTCACCCTCCGTGGCAGGGGCCTCTGCCTTACTCCTTAAGCCCTCAGCTTTAGGTTAGGGTGGGCTGGGGCTGGCACCAGGCACTCCTAGCAAGGTGGCTTTGGGAGGCATGGGGAAGGGTTTGATGTCTCTGCCCTGGCTCCCCAGCACATGGTGCTTCTGGTTTGCAAACAGGCCCATCGTGGCAACGTCAATCACTACCAGTATACATGGTCTGGCCTCTGAGACAGCGCTTGTCTTTCCCCCTGGTGAACTTACAGGAACAGCACAGATGCTAGCATGTATTGTCCATCAGTAAAGGACCTTACGGGCAATGCCAGCATAAATCACTGCCTAAGGCTCAGGTCACCTGGAGGAGCTGCCCACAGCTCAGCAAGCAGTAGTAAGACCATGGTAACTTGGGGGCACAGGGGACCCTCTTGTTGGCTCAGGCAGGAGTAAGTGGCAGTGTGAAAGGGTTGAATAGTCCACTGGTCGTGAGAACCAGAAGATTGTCCTTCAAGAACCAATCCAGCCAGCAAGACAACCTGACTCTGGGAGACTCCGCTCCCTGGGGGCAAGGGAAGTTGTCTTTGGGTCTCTGTAGAGGGGAGGTAGGAAGCCTGGGACCAAGCTTGAAGACACCCTGCTCTGGGCCTCAGCTTCCTTATCTATAAAATGGGGTTACTGACCCCAGTCTTTGGTCCCCTGCTTACGGAAGAGATTGGTCAGTGCCACACCTAGGGTGAACAGCCTCTCTCTGGGGCCTGGAGTTTGTGGGTACCACACTTTTGGGAGCCAGGGCAGCTTTGGGGCTCAGGGCAGCACTTCTGCCTGCAGCCCCTGGGATACCCCCACAGGCCTGTATGAAAGCCCAGCTCTTATCACCTCCATGACTTCCACTCAGAACCCTGCCCCTGCTCCCCTTTGGGGCTCCCTTCCTTGCCCTGGCCCGTGTTAAGTCACACCTGCTGTGTGTTGACAGTGCTTCCCTCTCCCAATTTGCACCCACCCCTGAAGAGGTGCCAGATATATGCCCATCTTACAGATGAGAACACTGAGGCTGAGCCTTCTACAGCTCTGCTGAGGGGCAGAGCTGGGATTTGAACTCAGGTAGCCTGGCTTCAGCGCATGTACATCTGCCCTCTCCTGTTTGCCTGGTCTCTGCCATCCCCTACCTGCCAGCCTGCCCTCTCATTTATCTGTGAGGAACAGGGCTCCAGCACAGAGTCCTGCTGATCCTGCCCCGAGAACTGGCTTCCGTGCTCCTGCCTGGCTGGACACTCACCCTGACCCCAAACCAAGGATAGAGTCCTCTACAGGCCCCAGTGAGTGACTTGAGGCAGAACCTGCAAGTGCCAGGTTATATAGTCAGCCCACAGCTGGTACAGGGACAGGATTAGTCTCCGGGCCACCTGAGGATGGCAATTTTCAGGGTGTGTTACTAGGAAGACGTGCTGGCCAGGAGTGTTGTCCCCTGTATTCCTACCCTTGTACCACCTCACCCAGAATCAACATGACTAACACAGAGAATGGCAGTACCAGTGATGGTGGCGACTCCCCAGGTATGGGGGGGACAAGGGATGGTGGCATCACCTGTGAGCACTCCTTTCGATCGCTCAGTGTAGGGCAGTCACGTCACCAAGTGGCCCAATGCAGAGCAACAGTGGTTTGTAGCCAGTAGCCATGTGAGCAAGTGTGGGGCAGGTGCCCAGCCCCAGCCAAGCCCCTGGCAAACAGCTTGACTTCAAGCTCCCAAAACGTAAGCCCTGGGCAAAGCTGCTGTGGGGCTTGCAGGCACAAAAACCGTGGGAAGGATAAGCAGCGGCAGTTGTTTTCAGCTGCTGAGACTTGGGCTCACAGATGACTCAGTGGGAGATAATACGCAGGACTTCTCAGAGCACTTGTGAGTATAAATCTCCAAGAAGATATACAAGCTTACCATTTCCCTTTGGCCAAGTGGCCGACTGGCCATTTTTTTTTTTTTAAACATCGTCTGGAAAAAACTTACATCAAAAGGACTCTGGACCCTGGTCCGACTGTTTGATGTTAACTTCTAACCTTGACTTTGTCTTCTGTGCAGACAGGAGGCATCCTTCTAGAAACTCAGCATTTAAGCTGAACTATACAGCTCAGCAAATCATCCACACAGCCCCAGCGGGGCAGACTCTGAGCTGCTGCTGGTGGGGTGGCGTGCCTGTCCCTGCCACCCCCCGAGGGCAGATCGCTGAGTGGGGTGGGGTCCTTTCCCCCGGCATGGTGGGAAACAGGGCGCTCTTCAGAGCTCATCTTGGAGCTGGAGGCCCGTCCCTGTGGCTCTTCCCGGCCAGAGCACGTGCCTCCCCCCAGCAGACTGGACTGGCCTGTGTACTCTCCCTTCCCTCACCCCCATTCCTGTGTGGCTGGGTACCCCACAGCCACTAAGAGGAAGCAACAGCACCCTATTGTCCAGTGATGTGCCCCTTAGCCATTCTACTTTATGCAGTAAAAAAAAGGAAAGAAACTAATGGCTTCAGGGTGCCCTGATGGGTCGCAAACCAGCCGAAAGCCTGCATGCCCCTCTTTGTAAAAAGAAGACAGTTTAAAAAAAAAAAAAAAAACCACTACAATGCGAATACTTTATTATCAATGAGTGACTGCTATTAGTTGTTTTTTTTTGGGGGGGGGGTGTCTGGGCATTAATATTTTAAAAACCATAGATCAAACCGAGGTTTTTTCACCCAGTTTTGATGTTATTTTCTTAAAAAAAAAAAAGAGGAAGGAGAAGAAAGAAAATATATCTGTATTCAAAGAATTATAAGCCAAAGTGCGTCTTTCTTGTTTTGTCCATATACACACATTGCACCATACATAAATAATTACATTGTAAAAATGACTCCATAATTACAAGTATAATATATATATTTCCATATAATATATAAAACTTTATATTAAATCTAGGTAGATGATATTTGGGGCTGGGGTTGGGGCAGAGGGTGGTTTTCGTCCGTGTGGGAGGGGAGAGCACTCCGTCTCTGGGCCGAGGTGGCCGCCGCTATCTGTGGTTGTTGAGGAGGATCTCCAGCCAGCAAGGGCAAGAGGTGATGAACTGCCGCGAGTAGCAGGGCCCCCAGCCCTTGGCGAAGCTGATGCGCACACTGTTGGGGTCGTAGGGGCCATCGGCGGCATCGGGCTCGGCGGCGTGCTGCAGCAGGCCTGAGCGCTCGAAGTCGAACACCTTGATGGAGTAGCCAGGCGGCACCTTGCGCACGACCAAGGCACGGCCGCCTGGCGCGTCCAGCGTCGGGGAGTTGACGAAGATGGGGTGCTCGCCGCGGTTGTAGGCCCACACGCCATCGGGCTCCTTGCTCAGCACGATGCCGAAGCCGATCTTGCTGCGCGTGCGCCGCACCGACTCGCTGCGCGGCTCCAGGTTGAGCTGGCCCAGGCAGAAGCCGCTGCCCTGAGGTAGGTCGTAGAAGATGCTCACCGCCTGGTCGTGCACGGCGTAGAGGCGGCCCACGCGCGTGCGGTGCTCCCAGTATGCTACGCTGCACCAGTGGCTCGGCTTGGTGGCGTCCGGAGACATGCTGGCGTCTGTGGGACAAACACAGGGCAGGGGCGGGTTACTCAGGGTGGCAGGTGGGCCTCTTGGGGAGGGGGAGGAGAGGGGGGTCTCCAAGCACAATAGGACCTATCATTCCCATATATGCAGCCTCAGGAGACAACCTATACACAGTGCCAGCCAGGTGGGGCATGTTCTGTGGATGTGCCAGCCTGAACCACACGCAGACCATCAGCTGGTGCCACAGACACAATGCACGGGAGCTAGCATTTGGCTCAGCAGCTGAGATGCCCACACGTTGGTTGTGTGTGCCAGCAGGCCCTGGGTGGGGGGCAGGGGGGCGAGAAGGTGAAGACTCTAGCAGTGGGGTACCTGCTACTCCTCAGGGAAGACCCAGACTGAGTTCTCAGCTCCAGGCTTTGATCTGACCCAGCCAGGTCCTGCGCTGTGTGCAGACCTTTGGGGAGTAAACCAGCAGATGGGAGCTCTCTTTCCGTCTCCTGTGCTTTCACAGTAAATTCTGAGAAGTCAATCAGACCCACGAGCTCCCACGCTGTAGCAGCCCAGTGCACCATGCTCCTTAGTGTGCACACACAGGACTCACTTTTTGGGCAGACCACCTGTTCCCCACCCCAGGCCAGCAAGGAACACAGCCAGGACAAGAACGTCATCTGCCCACACCCAGTCTGCACAGACCAGGGCTGCTCTGCATAAATCCCCACGAGGAGGAGACGCAAGCATGGCAAGGGGTGGGACTGGGAGTGTCACCGCCTCCCACTCCCTATCCTGTCTACCCACCAGCCTGGAGCTGGGGGGTTCCTGGGGATGCCTAGATGCACCGCACACGCATGCACTCATGCTGTAGCCATCTGGGTACCCCAGAGGAGCTGAGCTGGGATGTGTGCGGCTGTTCCCAGGCCTCCCCACTCTGCACAGCCAAGCAGTATCCTAGATGGTACTGAAACGCCTCCCCACCACACCTTCAGGGCCATCTATGCATCGTGTGGAAGATCTAACAGTTTTCTGAGCCCAAAACTAAACACAATCAAGGGGCAGGGGCAGGAGTCCATCTCATAGGGCAGCCACCTGTTCCCTGCTGTCAGGCACGACCAGCTTCTCATATCCCGAAGCCTCCCGCCATCATCTCTGCTTTGAGCTTGCAGTTCTGGGGCAGTGGGCAGGCACCGAAGGAGGGGATGTGACTTGCATGCCTGCTTCCATGTAGTCCCCTGGCTGGGGTCCAGGCGCAGGGCAAGATTTTGCCCTGGAGACCTGGGCAGAACAACGCAAAGCAAAAGCTCCGTGGAGAGACCGGTCCAAGCCCAGCCAAACCCAAGGGGGACAACACAGCTTCACCTGGGAGCCCAGGTAAGGGCAGATCTGAATTGGTTCCAGATGAATGGGTGACAGGACCCTCTGACAGCCTCGTATACACCAGGAGGCTTGTCTGGCCACTCAGCAGGGACTGACTATCTGCCTATGGGCATCCTCTGAGCTGCCGCTTCTCTGTGAGCCTGGGCAGGGCCTCTTGCCCTCTGCCTAGCATGGAGGTTCCAGTTCCAGTCCCCTAGGCCTGCAGGAGAAATCCAAGTCCAGACAGCCTAGAACTTGGGATACTTTGTCTCACTGTCTCTATCTTAGCCTCTCTGGGTACCAGCTGATGGTTGAGTTGGGAGAGACAAAAAGACACCCTGCCACCTGACTTTGACTGGCGGGCCACCTCTCACGGTAGGGAGGTCAGGCTGTTGGCACTGGGCCAGTCACTGCCCCTCTCTGTACCCATCCATCTGGTGCAGGCACAGAGGCCCCCCAAAGCTGAGTAAGCAGTGCTCCTAGAACTCCCAGACGGATCCTTGGTCAAGCCACTGCCTACATCTTGGGCAGTGGGCAAGTCCCTCCCTTTCCAGTCTGGCTAAGTCTCCTTCATTCCAGGAGAGAGACTGCCACCTTTGGGAAGCCCACCCTGCCCACCTGTCTCTCCTGGGGCACCTTCACTGTAGCTCCTCCCTTGGCCTAAAGATTCCTCATGCTGCAGCCCAGTGCTTTCCTATGGGGCTGCGCAGTGGCCTGCAAAGCTCTTGCCCAAAGCTACAGCAGAACACGGCAGCTCCACGGGGATCCCACCCAACAAGCACACTGCTGGCTGGAGGTCCTAGGTCTGAATTTGAGCCAGACAGCGCCCAGGGTACTTCACACACTGGGCTTCCACACACCAAGGCACTTCTAAAAGGGGCTCTGGGCGACACATGGGGCTGCCACTGTAGCCTTTTATCATACACTCTTCTGCCCTAAGTTTCTTTCACTGCGGACCAATGCAAACTTTCAGAAACCACTACTGAGTCCAGTGGCCTGGTGTGTGCCTTGGGGAAGGTATCCCAGGGGGCGCAGAGTGAGCTGTCCAGGGAAGCATGGCAGCTCTGACAGAGCTGGGATCAAGCCCTGAGACCCCAGAGTGTTCTTCTCACCCTTGTCCACAGCAAGATAGACCCACGGCCTGACCAGCGGTATGGCTGTAGACAAACTGCTGAGTGTCCCCAAGCTCCTTATCTTTACCATCAAATGACACTGCTGAGTGGCTCTGCATATGGCCCATGCCTGCCTTTTCCAGAAACCCAAGAAAGAAATCAACTGAATGCAGAAAAATCCGCTGTGTCGTAGTCAGTTCCAGCACTGTCCTTACTGGAGGGGGCTGGGGTAGACTGGCATTATGGCCCAGGGGTCAACACCGCAGAGGAGTTCATAGGGATGATGGGTGATAGGACTCTTTACAAAATGCTAAAATACCTTACAGATGCTCAGCATTTGCACTGAGTCTAGGACCTGCCATGAAAGGGGTACTTGATACATAACAAAATTAAACTGAAAGACCAGAACAAAGACGAGCCGGGCTGTAGCTGGTGGTGCTTGTTCTCATGTGCACATGTGCACTTGGGTTTCACGTGGTATGTGTGGCAGCACCAGCCTCCATACTCTTCGCAGCCCAGCGAGCATGAAGGCAGAAACCCCCAAACCCAAAGCCCCTTCCCCTGCACCCCTCACAGCTGCCCTTCTTCCCCCCACCTCCAGTCTGCGGCCTGGCTGTCACTTAGGGTACAAGGGACAGTGTCTTGCAGAGGGATCTTTTTTCTCCTCGTGGTTCCAAGGCTGTGGCCCGCCATCTCCCACAGCCATCAGCCTAATTAGGACCTGGCTCTTTAATTGCAAATAAATCCTGGGGAGTCAGACCCGAGTGAACAACATCAAAGATGACCGAGCTCTGACCGAAACTCCCCGCTCACTGCCCCCTGCTCCAGGCCTGGCCTGCTTCCCAGCCAGACTCTGGGTCCCGCTGGGAGGGCTGGGGCAGAGGAAGGAGGAGCAGGGCTGGGTCCAGCCAGCATGGACATGTACAGCAGTGCTAGCCTGGGAGTCAGGGATCCTGCCTCCCTGGTTCCCTCCCTCAGGCCCTCTCACTCACTCCTCTGGCCCTTGCCTTCCCACCTGAACAGTACAGTCAGTACTCTGCCTTGCTCTGAATCTCTATGATCTGGCACCTAACTTGGGGACATCCAGACACCCTGTAATACCACCCAAAGCCAGAAACTGACTCAGCATCAGCTGGAATACTACTTGCCAAAGAACAAGTCACTGACCCAGGCAACAAGGGTGGCTTGCAGGTGCATACTGCTGTGGGGCAGGAGTCAGGCAGAGAAAATGACACGTGCTGTGTTTCCATTGCTAGGAGGCCAGCCAGTTCATGAGTGACAGGAATCAGGTGACGACCCCCCCCCCCCCGGGAACAGGAAGACTGGGAAGGGGCTTGGGGAATTAGCCTCAGTAACAGGATGTTCAAAATCTCGATTGCAAAGCCAGAACCTCAGGCTTACTTATGCATGCTGTCCACAGTCTCCATGCACAGGCTGTGCATTTCCTCCTCACAGTTACCAGAAGATTTTTAAAAAGCCAATGCCAGGTGCCCCATAGGCAGCATCCCCCTTGGTCCCAGTGGTTGTCCTACACAGCCTCAGTATGGCTCTGCATTGGTCGGTCCACGAGGACAGGTCTGGTTACCTCCTGGTGGCTCCCACATTCCTGCCACCAGAGGGTGGTGGCTGCCCGTGCTGGGCAGGAGGCAAGGGGCCGGACAATGGGCCTCCCGTGCACAGGGGCCAGTCCTTGGAACGGCTGGCATTCCTTTCTCTTGGCCTCCCTGCCCTGCCAGGGTGCCTGGAGCCCAACATGTAAGTGTGTATGTGTGTGTGTTTGTGTGTTGCTTGGACAGCCCGGGGGCCTGCTGCAGTCTGGGAGAGGTGAGGAAAGGTTGAAAGCCCAAACAAAAACCTTAGCTTCTTTGACTCAGCAGCCTTCCTTCCAGAACAAAGGGTGGTGAGGTTGCTGCATGCTCCCCATGGGCCGCGTGCCCCAGAGCTCCGTGCACACACTGAGGCTTGCATCCCTCCTGTGCCGTCTTATCCTTTGGGCCAAGCTGCCTGGCTGTGGCCAGCCCACGAAGGAACCAGAAATGTATCCTGAACTTGGGAGGTGTATAGCATTCACAGGGGGCCCAGCCCCCTTCCGTGTTCCAAGTCTTGGCCGCAGCCTCCTACCCGCCTCTCTGGGACTGGAGCACAAGGACCTGCATACTCACATCAACAGGCAGACAGGGTCCAGACCTCACAGGGAGGTGGGAAAGGGGGCACCTACAGGAGGGGGTGGGCCCCTTACAGGCCCAGAGAGATGAGAGAGATCTGCCCAGCAGGCTGGGGGACTGGGCCCGAGAGGAGCCAGAGCCCAGCCTTTTCCAAGCCCCTCTGCACTGGGGCCTCCTGTCCACCTTCTGTCCCATGTCAAGCCTTTGGCTTCAAGTTCCCATCCAGCTAGCAGCTTTTCATCTGTGGCTCCCAGGCCTGGGAGTAATTACCTGGCCCTGCATCTGGTTAACCTAACACCCCTTTTAAAGCCTTGTTTGCCCATTAGATAAGTAGTTTTTGTTATCAAGGGTAGAGGGAAAAAGGCGTTTCCACTTAACCCTGCTTTGGCATTTGCTGCACTG